AAGTTCTTAGGAGGATGGATACCACTTTCTTCTGAGTTTCGAACTTTGAGGAATTCAAGAGGATTTGTCAGTGGTGGCATATTTGCAAGGTTAGATGTCCTCTAAAAATCGAACTTAGTCTTATGACCTTCAGGATTATGATGCGTTTTTGAGTTTGACGCTGGTGGTCTGTAACCAGCTCTTCCTGCTCTTCACTGTCATGCTGCTCTATTTGCAAGAATCTTAATATTCTCGGAAATCTGTTTTATCTCATCGCATTGGAGAAAACTAGAAAGTCACTGGCGTCTAAACGACTTGAATTTCAACAGGATCGGTGAGTGCATACTATGGTAACTTCTTTTTAATTTTCTTACATTACTGGCTCTAAACAGATTATACTTGATATTTTTAAGGGCATATGTGTCCGGTACATTAAACACAAGTGCATTGCTAGATCATTTTATTCTTACAAATACGTCTGAAGCAACACGATCTGGGAAATTATTTATTTCATTCATCTGATCTGGAGTCTCCGTGAGGTTGGGTTGATGAGATACTTAAACGGATTGAGAATGTTCATGTCAACTTGCAACTTTCTTATATCATCCATATGGTTGTCATCATTGTTTACCAACAGAGTCTTCAACGTGTCTGGAATGGAGACAACTGATATAAGCTTACCTGATTCCAGGTGAATGGAGTAGCTCGTCTCGTTGAAACTGTCGGGAATCGTGTCAATGGTAGTGTTAGATTATATCGTTTTTCTACGTTTGGTTGGACGCCTATGAGCAGAGGCTTTCGTTTTTTTGTGGCATGATAAAAAGATGATAAGTAGCAAATGATTGAACATGATGTTGGAAATATTAATGGGTGAATAAATCAGAAGCAAGGGCTCAAGATAATCTAGAACTTAAAGCTTGTTTTTGAGACAAAAGTGAATGTAACGTAAGGACTAGTGAAGGTGTGAAAAACAAGAAATGAGAATGGCAGGAAGATCGTAGTATAGATGTAGTATGTCAGTACAACTGTGAATGCAAAATAAGTGCACACTGTGTAAATATTAACATATCTAACACATGGAAAGATAGCTTTATAAAACTAAGTCATTCAGAACTGTCAGTAATTATTATCAAATAATAGAAGTTTGTACGGTGTTTGGCACTGAAACCCTGTATTAATTGGAATTGGGTGTAAATAGATATGTATTTTGAAAGATTACGGTCATCGAGGATTATAATGATGCTTTATGACCAAATATATTACACAGCTTTTGGATGCAAATATTGACCAGAAACTATAACAGACTTATCGAATTGGACAGGCAATTTTGGAAAATAAATGAGTAATATTATCCAAATACAATTCAAATTATAGTACATAAAATAGTGGTTGGTTAACCCATTGATATAAGACTTCTCCTATTTCTTAGTCGGATGGGTCTCATGCAATGTTAACGGGTGCTTTTACGTCTTAGTGTATGAGCATTGTTGCATTAACGATAATTACCTTAAATGTGGGAAATGCTTACTTCACGCTGACGTCCAAACTGATGAGTTTTGCATCTTCACAAAGTAGGTTGGTTGAAATTCCTACGAGAGACGCGCAATTTGATACGAACTGTCGATAGAAACGTACCATGACCTTGAACGTACGTAGCTTTTTGGGTACCCAGGACGACTGCTACTTCGCTTTGCAAGGAGCGGATGCCTTGAGCATCAATAGCATCTCCGAGAAAATCTAGGGAGTTGGTGTTGAATTTATACCATAATTTCATCTTTTTAGTCGTACGAAAACTAGGTTTAGATGCTAGAGATGAAATACTCTCTCTGAAATTGCAATCAAGCAGTCATCCACATATGCATGTATGAAGTTTAGGCCTCTAACGTCATCAAAGAACCTCAGGAATGCTTGTGTAATATATCTCAAACCGAAAGGCATGAGCGAAAATTCGTAGGATCCGAAATGCATGATGAAATTGGTTTTGGGAATGTCGTCGGCAGCAATGTGAATTCGGCAATATGCTTTAATCAAATGGATTTTTGATAAAAACAGCCGCACCTTTCAAGGTATCTGTCACATCGTGAATGTGAGGCAACCGGTAACAATCATGAAAGTTTTTCGCGTTCAATCGCTGATACTTAGTAGTTGGACGCTAATCATGGCTGTTCTTTTTGGGATCATGAGCAAGGGAGACGCCAAGCGGCTGTTCGATGGTCGACGCGCGCATTCGAGAGTTCAGGTAACTCTGTACCCGTCATGTGGTGTGCAACATTGCTGGTTACACGTTGTGGCTTTGTTAGCGTTTGGTACAGTTTGGGATATACGTAGAGTATCCGTCGGTAGTAGTAACCTATAGAATTATGGTTTGTTTCGTCCTTAGTACTTTTATGACAATGATCTTGGTACTGAAATTGTAGATTTTTCACAATGCGATAACTTAATCTATGAGACCTTATGTGGAGGTCCCATCAATATCTGCACTGACTTATCATATCGTAAAAATCAGTAATATTATGTCTTATACTTCTGAAGAATTTATTTGGGCAGAAGATGGAATAATATATTTGACGTGAATAATGAGAATTTATACAGAGTGACCACGTCCGCAAGGCTGAGCTGTGCCTTCCGATTCAATGCTTCTTCCTGAGTTTATCATTCTCGGCCTTTTCTTGGTGTTGCATGATGAAGTGAATCTTCCTAGTAATTCCATGTCTAGCTTCGAAGACTGTGTGGTTAGTAACCAGCATTACTCTACAAACAGATTGTATGCTTAACCGTGACTGGACATAACATACAACCAGATAATGCGTTTCTATAAACAAACAATTCAGTATCTCTGTCTACTAACCTCCGTTTTCCTGAGTAAGTGTAAGGACTATGGTGCTGTAACAGGTCCATACCAACTATTGGCATAGAAACGTCTGACACAACGAAAAGCCAGTGGGTGGGTCTGAATAAACTCACCTTAGGACGAACATATCTCTTAGTAAGTGCAACGATCGGTTCTATACTTAATGTCTGTAAGCCGAAGACTGGTCCTTGTGGATGTAAATTAGTATTCGTAGGAAAATCGTTAACTCCTCTGATAGCTCGATGAGAAAGGAAACTTCCACGATAACATCACTGATATTTAACAGACAAATATATCCACTGACTACGGTTGCAATCAATGCACGCCGGTGAGGAAGCTCTCCGAAGGGTTTTTCATGACGGATGGTTTAGAGATTAAGAAACTGCAGGATCGCCTGTAATTTCTAGAAAACGTACCATGGGTGTTGCGGCGCCAACCAACTCACGTCATCTAAAGACAGATCTTTTTCGTAGCAATTTTCTTCTGGAGTTTTTGCAGTGTTTCCGGTTATGATGAATAGGACCATAACAGGTGAGACTGTTGCGAAGATCCTCAATATCATCTTGTGTCGTTTGGTGTGGTAATGAAATTTCGTCTTAATCTTCGGTGTAGATTTGATATTTTTATGTCGTCATTTGTGTATTCCGTTTATTTTTCACCCTAAGGGGGATTGCAATCATTCAGTTTATTTATGATCTCACCTTATTTAAGGGGATTTTACGGGTTGTGCCAACTTTGCTTAAAGTGACCCATAAACTTAACAGCCGACTTATCGCTTCTCTGGGTTCAAAGCGTTAGTTTTCGAATCAATCGTATGGGTTTAAAATTTCAAAAGATTAGAACATTCCTAGACTGTTAAGAGTGTTATGTAACTTTGACAATAAGCTGGTGTATTAAATACTCGTAGCGCCTTTAGATTGTTTTATATTAATTTGACTAAATAACGCCGTAGAATAGGCAGCACAGCGGTAAAATTTCTCTATATAGTTTCGTACGAGTACCAGCTAACTGTTTTATGATTAGAATAGTATGTTCTACTACCGTGTTTAGAATTTACCTATGCCTGACATTTCAGTGGAAGCTGTACAAGATCCATAGTACATCAATTAGGACATAATGGTTTGTTTATGTAGAAAAGAAGGCAACGAGGCGAACGAATTGGTGCTTTAGTTTGCTCGAAGCTAATGTAAGCAAACAATATGTTTGGCCAACGAACAGAAGTACTCCTATATAAAAAAATGAATAAAAAGATATGGTCACAATTAATCACATAACAGTTCATACAGTACGACTAATAACACTGTGGCCGCATATCTGAGTGACACATGTTAATCCTTGTTTCTTAATTTGTTCAGACAATTTGGTGCATATCTTCAGTGAATAGTTCAATACGCTTAAAGGAAATCCACTACGTACTGGTCTTCAGGAAGAAATTTCGGGTTTGAGTGATACCCTATGTCGATCACCAAACAAAATGTTTTGATCTGTCCAATCAGACACTCAAAAAACCATATATTATAAACTTGGTTTTGACGTCGCTGTAGATAAGAACTACTGGATTCTTCACCTGATATCTCTTTCCAGCCCTCTCCAGTAAGTGTAAGGCTCATTATAAGAGGTCAGGCTGTCCGGACGCTATTGTTATGTGTTACTTAACGTGTAGTGTTCCAGGATGTTTTTTAGATAGCCCTTCCCAAGAACTTGTGCCCACGCCAGTGAGGTCAGTGGGAGTGCAATTTGATGAAACCCCCATAGGTATAACTTTGTGACTAAACACACATTTATTCGTTTATTTATTTAATTGTTCTGATCATCGTCTTCCCGTTGCTCTTCTAAATTAGATCACTTTTACGACATTTTTAATACTGCTTTCGGCCAACCTCACAGCTAATAATACGATAAGCACTGCTTCTACAAACAACATTGCCTTGAGACAGATTAACTCACTGGAATAACAAGATATGTAAACAAATAACAACTGATTTGACTTGGATTAGTCTAGTCGATTGACCAAACTATATTACACTAAAAAAGCCATAGAGCAGGAACTATATTGCAGGAGTAAAATTAAACTCAAAAAATCCCTTAATCAATACTAACTCCACACAAAGATATTAGTGGTTGGATATTGTACGTTTGTTTGTATTTTTGGTGTCATAACAACCTAATGCACAAATTTTCAACTACGACATGTTATACTGTGTATTAGCAATTTTGATTCTTCTTAAACAACCTTTGTCGTACTCTATTGATCTTATTTCGCAACAAAACTGTTCGACTGGCTCTACGGATTCAAATGCGGAATATTTTAACTCCGCAAATCTTCTGTGTAAAAAGTGTTCACAGAATTTGACTTTTCAAAAACAATCAGCAGATGGTATGGATCTTTGCAAACTTATTTCCAGGGTTTTCATGCATTTGTCAACCTGGATACAAAACGATAAAAAACTTTGGTGGTAATAATGTTGAATGTTCTCAATGTAAAAATGGAGAAGTAAGTGGCCCTGGTTACTGATTATTCTGAAGACGGTCAGTGAGGACGGCCTGTTCTGTATACCATGTAGGACTGGTTCATATATGGCAGCCACAAAAAGTTGCAGTTCTTGTCCTTCAGACTCTGTTTCAGGTAACTACACATGATGTCATTAGGATCATGTTTACAGTTTATCTTGACCAGTCAGGTTCCCAACTCCTTAGTCAGACATGCCTAACTTGTTCAAACAACACGATGCCAGACAACAATACGTGAGTTTATAAGGTAGTCATCAAATGGAATTTTAGCTGTGCGACATGTCAGACAACAATTAAAATGTTGCGTGCTTCTTCATTGCCTGAATCATGCATATGTCCGAATTCCCGAGTGAGTTTATTACAGTTCACTGATTTAAGGCTCTTAAAATTTTATACCTACTTGCTAAGTGTATATTCACGTATATCACTCAACATTTTTCCATACCATAATTAAAGTAAATAGCTAATAAATGGTCGACACAGCAATTATTCAGTTATATTTCTTCCTAGTAGTGGACAAAATGGTTTTTTGGTATTTGGCAATTCTCTTTGGTCTCCTCTACCGTCGCTTAGTTCGCTCTACTTCTTTCTATATCTCCTGATACGTTCCATTCTTGACTTTATGAACGATGACTATAACCGTCAAACTCTAAGTTCTGCACAAACAACTAAACTGATAATAATTAATAGTTCATTTAAGTCAAAGTAAAATGGTACTGAATTCCTGTTTCATAAAAATTAGTGTTTTGCTAGAAAGCAAAAATAACTTGGTAAAAATTCACCTTTGGAACATTAGAAGAACATAGTTTTCTAACCTGTATGTATTTTTAAGATGAATATTATAATATTCGCTCGCATACATGCTTGTTCGGGCATCCATGGTAGTTGATCGTACCAATTACTTGTCTGTTTTATATACTTTTAGTCATATGCCTATAAACGTAGGTTAACTTGTGGATGCATTATACAACTTATTTGTCTTTACTTATGCGTCTATTTCAAATCTGGCGGTTGTCTTCATTTCGATATATTGCAGAACTTGTTCAGGTGCATTATTGTACTTCATGCCTTGAAAAATTGTATTTTGATGAGGTTGTTCTCAACAGTTCATTAACTTTTCGAAAATTGACTATTAAAAGTGTGGCAGTAGGGAAGTTACTTATTTACTTATTATAAAATGTATAGTTTAAAAGTAATTGTCATAGGGTAAACCTGGTTGCTAAAAATGGTTGTGCAGTTGTTTATGTGCAAAAATAAAATGCATTAAATCCTGTTCATCTTCCATCCTAATCATTTTTGTCTTGACAAAAAATGATATATTACTTGTACTAAGGTAAATTTGCTCACACACTTCAAAATTTTACTATTTAAGGTTGATACTGCCTACTCTAGATTGTTTACAGATATCGTACGATTCTTCTGGTTCATCATAAAATCTAAGCTGCAAAACACTTTTTGATGACCCCTATAAACAAAATGAGAGTTTGCACACAATAACACAGACCATAGACTGACAACAGACGTCAGAAACGTGAAAGTTTCCATTTTCACCTGATTTTTATGCTCATACAGAGTTTAGCTTTCCTTTTATTACTTTGATTTCTCTGTTGTGATGTGGTATGATAACTAAAACAGTGCCAAATTCTACCCAGGCTGTGTGTTTATCATGATTATAACTGACTTGTCTTTTAGTAAAAGAAAATGAACGGAAAGAACTGACTCGTAAGTATGACGGACAGTTTATTTTTGCACACTGACTGCATACACAGTTTGATAAGTGAAAAAATTGAAAACATTCCAAAAAACAGATGGATTCATTAAAATAAAGTAACCTTTTTACTAAATTGATAATGAATACAAAGCATTTATTAAATCTATATAAAAATGAGGCCCTAAGGACTCCATTTCATCTGGATTGCATCTCAATTTAAACTTATTATAGTTACTGTTAACTAGCAATCGCCCTTCTTTTTGTTCAAAAAATTAACATTTCGTTTTTATATGGCTCAGTACTTGGAGCCAATTACCACGGACTTGAGGTCAAAAATAACTGCAGATAAGGAGTGTGACGATGATAAACGCAATACTGCTTTGGGTCTGTGTTTGATCCTCAAGAAACGTACAGTAGCATATATTAAGGTGTTATCAAGGTATCCGCAGTCACTTGTTCCTTAATCTTCAGTACGAGTTACTTGAAAAAAACGAATTTAATTAGATCAACATTTCCCTTTCTTTTTCTTTTTACCGCAAAAACTGGAAAAATCCTGCATATTTCCACCATTAAACACAAAATGACCGTTTTTTCGTAGTATCATTTGTGGTACCAGGCAGAAGGATTTATATTCATTTTAAGAATTGACAAGATATTTACACATTACATATAAACTGTTTTCCATCGTCCATTTGCATTTTCCTGTGTGTTCTGCCACCGGAACCGTCTTCTTATCTGGTGTCTAAGTGTTCTACCAACGCCGAACTCTCGAGAAACTGAAACTTATCACTCAGTTTGAAAATCGTTGCAATCTCGATTCCAAGTTTCGCTTTATACTACTTACAAACAATCCCGTGAGCAAAGTCCACTCCAGTACTACTACTACTAGTAGTAGTAGTAGTAATAGTAGTAGTAGTAGTAGTAGTAGTAGTAGTAGTAGTAGTAGTAGTAGTAGTAGTAGTAGTAGACTCTTATTTTAAACTCATCAAGTAGTATTTTTTCAGCCCATTGTACCATTAATTCCGTTTTATTACAGGTTGATGGAGTTTGCTTTCCCGGAATAACACCAACGTCAATTGGCACTTCCAATTCAGCCTCTAGTTCAAGCCCCGTTGTACCTACAGGATCTGATACCTTTACACTAGTATTACCTGCTGTAGGTTTCTTCGGATTTTAGACAGTGTTTGCTTGTTACTTCACTAAACTCTAGTTACTATGTTTAATAATGTAAACGAGTAAGCACATCAACGTATTTCAATATGATAGGATGCTACACTCTTTAGGCGAATTATTTTGAACATAATAATTAATTGATATAATTCTAAGAAGTATTATCAGTTATGTATAGTCTGATCCCCCATTTGTTCATTTGTAAACAGGAATGTTATTTTTCCAAATATAAAGATTTCTAGTTGAAGTTTATATTGCCTGTATCTACAGGATATGTGAAACTAAAATAAAGTAAAGGGTGTTAATGATAGTATTCGGAACAACAATCAACTGTGGAGAGCTGAACTCCTGCATTATTGTGTCAAAACCCTAAGAAATACAACAAATTAACGAAACGTAATTATTGTCAGTTATTATTGTTTAACTGAATAGAATCGAAGATTATTTTTGTTAAATATTTAAAAAGTTACAACCATGTAACTGTTTGAAATAACTTACGATTTGAGTTTTGTCGCTATTGAGACTTAAAGTGAATTTGATCAGGCTGTGTTGGTGGATACGGATCCTTAGCACGTATTTTTCAAAAGTAGATCGCGGCTTTCTGTGAAATTCAGGAAATACACTTCATTTTATTTGGAACTGGTCAGCTGAATGAACATTCATTCCTTTGACAATGTTCATTCTTTGACTTCAAAAGATACAAGAATCTAGCCACAATGTAAATATCAACACTGACATTCAAGTGCATTCAGTTAAAGAATCTTGAGTGGAACAAAAAACATGTATCCTGAATCCCACTGTTATCCTAAACCCAGCTTCATGACAAACCTATTTGTTTTAAAATTAACGACAAGGTGATAAATAGTAAAGTTTTACACACTGTTACTTATATACAAACAATATATTAATTAAAATCAATTCAAGTTCTGTTGAAATTCGCTTGCCTGGCACGAGACTTGCAGGTCCTGGGTTCAAATCTAGCGTGGTGCGGGATCGTGGATGCGCACTGCTGAAGAGTCCCATACTAGGACGAAACGGCCGTCCAGGGCTTCCAGGTTTTCCATGGTGGTCTAGCTTCAATTGACTCATGATTTCAATCAGTGAATTTTCTAAAATCTCCACAAAATCCCTCCTGATAATAATCTAACAGCCTAATATTTATTATCGATACTCTCAAAATTTAAGAAAATACAAACTCATGACATGACTTCACCCATTTTTAGATTTTCATTTGCTTTTAATTCTAGGGTGAGACAAGTTCACAAACAGGGATATCATCTAAATATTTTGAGACACAAGCACGTTCAGCAACAGCATTTTGTTCAGTAAGTATTTAGTTTGAACTTATTTTCGATAAGTAAAATGTTTTGAATCATACCATTAGATGGCTGTTAAATTTGTTTTAATAAGGTATACTACTAATAAGTAGTCCGATTTTTAAAGATAAATTACTGTAAATTATTGGTGTTATCCACCGTGATATAATAAATAATTAAGCATTGTCCCATTAACCTCCATTCTCTATAATTTACCTATAAATAAATATTAAAATTCGAATGAATTTCAATAATGAGTTTAATATAGGTTCAATTAATTTGTTTTGATGATTATTGAGTGCCGTAACGATGTCAGTCAGTCAGTCAGCTACAACGTAGGAGCAGGCACATACATGCATCGGTCCAAGTTACCATACCTCATTAACACAACAAGATGGACACCGGATTCATAAAAGTAGTTAATTTAGAGGTGGTACCGTAACGATGTATTCTACATAACTATGAAATATTAATAAAGATCATTTATCTCCAAAGTTTGTCTCAACAGACAATGAATACTTTATAACTAAATCACTGAGTCTAGGTAATATGAATTTACCAAAAAGTTTAAGCATGTTATATAGACACTTTTTTAAAAACTAATGCTGCATGTAAGTATAGAATGTTAAAAATTGAAAACTACCACTGGGACGTTTTTTTTCGATATTTATTTTATAGACTGCTTATAATAATATAACAGCATGTCAGTTACTAGCTAATTTATGTACCTTACAATTAAATACATTATACGATAGTGGAACTGGATCAGCTAGTACATGTTCAGAATTTCGAAGACTTACTAGTCAAAGAACTCCAATTAATAGTGATTATACTAGTTGGTAAGTTGTTATTTTATTCATATCAGAATGTATTTTTTAATCTATCACATAATTATTATAATAGAAAGTTATAGTGTTCGTATGAAGTACTTGTAATGTGAAGTTTAATTAGATATGTTAATCGATTTATGATGCAGACAACACTTCTCACCTCAACTCAATAGTTGTACCTTTCATTTCCAATACTAATACGTTATCCACTGAGCTGATGAATTCACGTAGTTACTAATTTTTCTAGTAAGTATTCACGTAATACGTTAAAGCTTCACTGGGATGCAAGTGAATCTATCTGATCAGTCTTAAATAGGAAGAAACACACACGCTGAATTTCACTGCTAGCCACACAACAAATATACTAAGTATTGATCTATTATGTTGAACTTCAACTGTAACTAGTAAATATCCGTCTTAGATTTCGTAGTTGCACACTGCAAGAAGTCCTACTTAGAGATGAAAAATAATAGTGCATAACAAGATTGAACAACAACTTGAATCAATCACTACAAACCTGTCAACTATATGTTAATTGCATTCAAATTGAGGACTAACTTCTAGATGAATTTTTATGGTTTTAATGAGATGTCGTGAGCGATGGATAATATCAACATTGAGAAATTTACTCACCAACTGCATTGCATTATTTGAGACCACGAACTGTTCAACGTTAAACCACCATTGTAAGCCTGGGAGCACTGGAGTGCCATTTCGTACTGAAGTGGGACTCGTCAGCATTTCGCACCCATGGCTCCGCACGCGGGACTCGAACCCACGACCTTCTGTCTCGCACGCGGACTCTTAACTTGTAAACCCTTGAGCCGTCATCCAGCGGTGTTAATTTCTAACTTTAATCAATCCATGATCTTGCGCAACCCTTCATCTATTGTCTGAGGTGGATAACTGTCTCACACCCGACACAGTTGAATTATGTTGTGCTATACAGTAATCTGAAGTTAACACTCTCAACACAAAACTTAGACACCTCTGATTTGATCCACAGAAGAACAGTGGGTATGTACTTCTAAAAGGTTCTGTACTAATACAAAATATGTTCTCAGTCCTTTCTGGTTTCCAACAGTTCTGCAGTTGATATAGAATACAACTTCCGTAGATATTTTTATACTTACTAACAAATTTTCCAGTTCTCTCTATTTATCTTCAATAAACAGATCTTACCTTCAAAACTGACTACATAAATCCTATTATTAAAACATTTGTCTATCTATTCTACTAATAAATCACAAAGGGTGAGATGGTAAACTTGATATTCTCCATGTTAGAGGGCCCAGCAAAATATATATAGGCTCAAATGGCAACGTTTTATCTCGGTACAAACAAAGAAGTTAACAAGCTGAAAACCAATGTTAGGCAAATGTTTAACAATAGCATTCAGGAAAAGCGTTTCGTCCTATTT